GCCATTTATTTCTGTCTAGAATGATGTACAAATGAGCGTTCTTGCTCATTTTGCCTCCGAGAAATGAGCAAAAACGGGACGGAAAACATGAAATTCGGCATAATCTTGCACCTTAATGTCTGATATTCAAATTTCGCATTCTGGGTCAAAACTACTCAAATTTCCTCACTCACGTTGCTACGACTGAATCGAGTTTTCAATTCTCTATCCAACGATGCTAAAACGAATTCTGTGGCTCGAATGGTTCTTGAGAAACTTCGAAAAAAGCAGCGTCATGTCGAAGTGGCCTTTTCTTGGGTGGTTCCTGGGCAAACCACCTAAATTTCGGGCTGTTTATTTTATCAAAATTTTTAACCAAGGTATCTCTCAAAATACGATTATAGATTATGAAAATTTGATCCAATGTGTTTTTAATGGCATCAGAAGGCTTTGCTTTGTAATGCTGTGAAGGGTATGTCAGGATATTTCTGATCATTAAGTACTAAGCTTGTATACTTATCTCCATCAGATTCTCAGACGAAATGGTGGAGAATTAAAGATGTGGCGACGGAAGTATAATCAACAATTTACAAACTATTACCAATAAAGCTGGCATTACTAAAGTGAGAAATACAGTTTGAAAAACCAAACGTTTTCTGGTTCATTAAAGTACAAAGACTTGCATTTTAGTGTCACTACTTGTATATTTAAAAATGGGGTTGATTCAGTTTCTTTCTTTTATAGCTCTCTCATTTGAAAATCATGAAAATTTGCCTGGCTGAAAACTAAATAAAATCTATAATTTTTTCACAAATTGAGAAATTTGTGAAAATTACACGTTAGTGTTATCTGCTGTTCCTGTTGTCATTTTGTCTGATATAGTTTTCGTTAATTCTATAAATTCTGTAATATTCAGTATTTCCAATAAAAAAACAATAAGTAAATTCTCCTTTGAAAATAAACCCATGTAAAATTTAAGCTGACAACTCCTGTGAACTCTGACACGAAATACAAAAGTTTCGGGAAAACTGCTTGCGATTTTATAAGACATCGCTAGTTTTCTCTTATTAGTTCGATGTACGATGTAGAAAACTTTCGGAAGCCGATCCCAGTTGCAATTAAACCTAAACTTGGCCAATTTTGTGGCCGAAAGTGAGAAAAAAAGTCTTAAAAAAAATGCTTCACTTCTGGACCCAGAAAAGGCAGAAAAATTCAGTTCAGGCCCTGACAAAAGACAACATAAGACAATTTTTCAGACAGACAGAACAAGAATATTTTCACGGAAGTGCACGCCTAACAATTCCTAACTTTTTATTGCGATTGTGAAAATTGATTCTAATCAATAAATGTCCGGAATTTTCAATAGTTTCTTCAGATGGGAAAAATATCCAGGAATGCTTCTATGCACTTTTATTCAATTAAATTCGAGTTAACGCCTGAATCATTGAACTCTTAACAGCGTTAATTGACATATTTCTAAATTAATTATTCAATAAACTGTGCAAAAATGAAACAGAACTGGCTTTTGAAAAATAAACCGAATGATCAGTTTACAATTTAAAGCTTCAATACAAAAGAGAGGAAACGAAGCGCTCTACTTCAGTAGTTGTACGAAAAAAAAAACAAATACGTAAAGCTATGTAATTGTAATTGCACGTCCAGGATGTATCAGATTGTATCTTAACCTGCTGTTATGTACATGTCTTATTTAAACTAATCAGATAGCGGCGGCCTCCCTACATTAAGTAATCAGCACAGATTTCTTCGGTCATCAGTTTCTTCATCAGGGTATTTTATCTGACCAACCAAATTAAGTGTATGGAAACGTAAAGAAGATAAATGCTTCTACCGTAATGCTAATACTTTACTACTAAAATTATAATATTTACAGGGTGATATTTTGAAAACTTACAATGATTATACGTGCACAACTTCGTCTCCCAGTGCATTTTTTTATATATCTATGGCCTATCTGATTTTTTCTTTGTTTTTTTCAGAGTGTGTCCTACAACAAGCCGTAAGAAGCAAAAAAATATCAGTAGGTACAACTCAAAAAAAGAGTCACTTTCTTAAAACGACTAAAATTAAGTAAAAATTCTTGAAGCTCCGTTATGTATTATACTATGGAACAAACCCTACCAATTTCTTAATAACACTAATTCAAACAATTTTAATCAATTAATCTCAACCTGATTTGCCTGTGATCAGAAATGAAATAGAATAAAAAGCTAAGAATTTTTTGCAGTGTTTGTGCACTAAACGCAATGCTCTTAAGGTCTTAAGTAGGTATATTGTTAAGTTCTAGTGTTTAGTTTATGGTTTCATAGAAAGATCAATATCGATATTTTAAAATTTTTTAAATTTGATGAGAATCGTGTCAGGACGATGATTGGACAAGAATAGTGTTTTCAAGTAGAGTTGAGCAACAAATCGCTACCTGCGATTTTACAGCGATTAATAAATAGTAATCACAAACTGTGATCTAAAACGTGATATTAAAGAGCGACTTATATTTTCACTGCTAACGCTACTATTGCGAGTTTCGTGTAATGATCATATGTTGCAGGGAGACGGGTAAAATATTGAAAAGTGTGGTGTAGAATCACACTTCAACCTTATCACTAAGGTAGATAAGAATAGGGCGTATCAACATCTACTACAAAACAGTATTTGTTTAGATTAAAAGCAAATCAGTCCACATTCAGATCGGTACTAGATACCTACGAATGTATTTAAACCTTTGCAGTTCGACGGTATGAAATTTAGTATACCTGCGACAATTTTCCAAGGAACACAATTTTTTTATTTATAAAAAGTTTCAGAGGATCAAAATAATATCTGCAGTTTTCTTCAAAAGTTGATTGCCATTTCCAGCGGGCGAATTTGTAAGTATTGGCATCAGTTGGACACATTTCAACTATTAACACTGCATAATATAGTAAATAATAGTTATAATAGTGAAAAATAAATTAGATGAGTGCATTCAGGTCTTAGACGTAAAATTATTTCCATTTCTTCTGGAAGTTTGCTGCCATAAAGATCTAATGTTTGGCCTTTCCTTTAAAGAAATAGTAATTTTTAATAGTCAAGGATTTGCGGTAATTTTTTAACTTAGTTTCTCCATGGGAAAGTCCTCGTGTGTACGATATTAGAAAATCCTCTTTCTCACATCATCAATCATCACTCGATCTATTTCGAGCCTAGAGGAAAATGTTTAGTTACTAAATAAAGCCAGCAAGATGCAAATCCAAAATAATAAATGTTTACATGTGGGTTTTCGGTCGTAAAGAAAAATTTATTGGATGATATCCGACTCAGGCACAATTTCGTTATCGTTCAAGAAATAATAAAAATTGATTTATTAGCCGCGTGTGGTTTTTTAGAAAATCATATCCTGAATGGTATGTTGAAACCCGAGCAAAAATGTATAGAGTGTACATTTTAATCGTCATATTGGTTATTGGTTTGTGTTACATGTCGGCTCGGGACACCAGGCAGCCCCATAAGAACTCGCCAGATCTAATGTAAGAAAATTTTGATAAATCTATACAGGGTGACTCAAAACGGACGTCATTTCCGAGAAGATTTGTGTGATGCAAAAAATAGTTCGGACTAAAAACTGGGATATTTGCACAAAAGTAAAACGCAATTTTGGCAACGGTTTACCTGATTCGCTGCTGTAAATAATGTGTTTCTCATTAACGTTACAAAAGAAATTAAGGTAGTAGAATCTTTTTTTTTTTGTTAAGTGTTGTCAAAATTTCGAATTTAACTTTAAAATTAGGGAAATTTTCGCACGATTTCAAAGACTATTGCGGGACACATTTCTCAGAAACCGAAAATACTCTACAGGCGAAGAGAGAGAAATATAAAGAATCCATAGAGCTTCAGTTGCTTGTCGGAAAACTAAGCTCAGGTCAACCTAAAAGATATATAGACTGGAGATGATTTTTACCAGCTTTTTGCAAGGTGGCGCCCCATCCTCCATTTTCTATTATCCAATCTTTTACTAATTTACCTTTAAATTTAGAGTAATTTATAATTGTCTAAATTTCATTCATCTGCAATGGTTAATGCACAACCCCAACAACAAAATTAATAACCGAATTAATTTTGTTCTTCTAAAAATATTGACTAAACAAAAAAAACGTGGAGAAATCACCAAAAAATTAAACTGATGATAGAACAGTTGTTAAAGGTACTTTACGATATCAATTTCCGTTCAAAAATTAACGTTTGAGCCTGCTCAGTTTGATGTAAAAAAAGTGTTTTTCTTGACAATGTTCAATTTTTGTTGCGTGCAAGAAATTGCACTTTCGTGAAAACGTTTGTTTTACCGAACCAATAGTTAATTCCGAAGATTTCGCCAATATAAACTCTTCCGAAAGACAGTAAACTGCACAATTTAAAAACTAGTCACAAATGTAACCTCACGAGCTTAGGGCTCAGCTGAAATAGTGCTTAATAAGAATGTGGAAATTGCATCTTAGTTAGCGAATATTTTCGAAAATTAACTTGAAAAACACGACAAATGACCAAATCGTGTCCATTTTGAATCATCCTCGTATGAAAGTAATGAGAAATATACAATACGATATAGGCACTAATTCTTATTTTATAATTTTAGTGCATACCTTAGAGAGGCTGTTAAAACAGAGAATGAAATGTTTAGTTCCGAAGACCTTCCACAGAAACCGAAAATGCCAAATAAATGATTTTGCAAATTGTACGTAGTTTTTATATTATGAATGCTGAGAGAAAAATATATTTTTTCTATGTCATGTTGAATAAAAATCCCCCCTGATCTTCCACAGCTTTCTCAGGAGCCTATCCAAGCCAACCAAGCCTATCTAGTCAAAAAGTGAAGTTTATGCGCAAATCCGAACACAACAAAACGCCTCTCATTTTAAGGTGTATACTTTTTATTGGCATCAAACAAAAAGTTTTTCGGAAAAGGTAGCTTCTTAATGGAAGAATAAACAAAAAATAATTAAGCTATTGATTTATCTACAACTTATTTACATGTGCACAACAAAACTATTGAAATCTTAGTATTTGTACCCTCCATTAGCGTCAAGGTTTTGCTGCTGTTGTTGCTGCTGGGCTGGATACCTCTGTTGGTCAGCATTTTGGTGGGAGAACCCTTGAGGAACGTTTCTCGAATTATCGATTCCTCCCTGTTGGTAACCACCATTTGGCTGCTGATATCCTCCATTTGGATTGTACTGGCCTTCATCATGGCCCTCATGGTACTGGCCATCATCCCCTTCCGGCTGATATGCTCCTTCTAGAATATTTCCTGAAGCTTCAGCTTGACGAATGACTTCCAGGCTTTTTAGAATGGCTTCAGGGATTGGCGGAGGAGTGGGCAAATGGGCGCCTTGGGGCACATAACCATTTTCGTCAGCCGTGTAGGAGATTTCAAAGTTCTGGCCTTCTGGCGAAACAAATCGATAGGATCCTTGGGCCTTGTTCCAGCCGGATTGGGCGCTTCCTTCCTCTTGAGCGGCGATATCATTGCCAGTTTCATAAGCGTATCTGCAACCCCTCGCTGCTTTAAACAACTATTTTATAAGCGACTGAAAAAACTACCTATAAGTGCCATCTCCAGGATTTTCGCTGTCCAATCGCACAATCGGGACGTCATTTAAAGGGGATCTCTGCTCAGGGTATTGCTGTTGTCCAGGGAGGTGTTGGTTGCCTTGCCCGGCTGGAGGTCCATACTGGTTGGACGGCTGCTGAAGAAAGCCTGAGGGTTCTGGTCCTTGAGGATGAGGTCCAAAAGGCCCTTGTCCTGATGGCTGATATTGACCTACTCAAAACATCCAGGAGATAAAGGGTTTTAAAGAATAGCTAAAGTTTACCTCCTGATTGTGGTCCTGCAAGTCCGGGTTGCTGGCTCGGGGCTTGAATGGAATTTCCCTGTGGGGGTAGATATTGGAGGTTGTCCAGTTTAGCCGCCGAAACGGCACTGAGAAGAGCTAGCAATAAGCTTATCTGCAAATATACGCTTTGCATGTAAGTATTTATTTATACAGTTTTTGCTTCTATAAAATAGGCTATCGTCCAATCGGTCTTTCTACCCTGGTTGTGTACTCAGTTGTTTGTAGAAAGGCATTTTCAAGTAATTCCGAGATTCATTTGCGCTAATAACCGCACAGTCGAGGAGGATTCAGCTTTTGAAAACCTTCTGTTGGAACTTAAATAAGAAAATAATAAACAATTTAATTGAATGCGTGCACTTTCTCTAATTTTGTCAAAATTGTCAAGGTATCGATCGCATCGAATTTGGGGAAATTATCAACGGCATATTGACAAATATGTAACCAATGAACTTTTATGTCTTTTATCAATGTTTTTCCTTAGTTCTTTTAGTTAATTGTTTTGACGTTTTTCCTATTTAGAGTTTGCCACATTTGCAATTTGATTGGAGAAACAATCACCCAAAAACGTTAGGCATTAAACATGAGCACAATGTTCACACAAATTACCCATTCATTTCTATGGAGCACAAACAAAAATATTGAGGAAAGCAAAATGTAGTGAAACCGAAAAAACAGAATACTATTTGCAACGCTCGTAACAATCCAGGAAGTGTTAAGAGACGGCTAAAGCCCGAACAGTAAAAAATGAGAATCGTGTTAAATAAATTGAACTTAACTTTTAAAAAATTTGTTTTTAAAACGCGTTTTTTTTGTGATAAATACTCTGCATTTAACTAATCAATTTCAATGCATCAATGGCCACTTTCTGGTTTAATGATGGAAAATTGCCGTATATTAATGTGCCAAAGACATCAAGGATCTTCACACATTTTAATCACATTTCGTAAGGAACTCGCTTTTCTCACGTTGTTGCAATATATTGTGATTCAGTCAGTTTTGTTTTGAAATGTTTACATGTAAATAATGGGCAACTGCAAGAAGATAATTCAAGTGTTCTCTTTATTGTTAGGTGAAATCAGCATGTTACAAGAGATTTGCATCAAATAAAATAGCCATTATGGTAATTGCGAATAATTTTCAGCCAGTGTGCCTTATGTGACTGTGTTTCATCATAACTGAGTTCAAATTTTCTTGAAAATATTTTCCTAGCTGATGTATTTCCATACAAAAAGTCTAAAGAGCCAATAAGTGCTGAAATATCTGGCGCCATCAATTATCGAGCTCACGTAATATTGAAAAAATTACAAAAATCGCTTCAAACTTCCCTTGGGATCCCAGAACAAACACTCCACTAATTGCGTATTTTTTGCTACATTTACGGAACCCAATCAACACCGTAGAAAAAATACGGCATTGAACACGAAGATTACTTCAAGGCTTGATAATCTCAAAGATGGGAAAATAATTATGGTAAATAATAACTGCGGCACAATGAAGCGGAATTTCGTAACAAGACGTTTTAAGAATAGTGCATTCATTGAATATTATTAATCAACAGTTGAATTAAAAATTGCGTTTTTTGGGCTTAGCAGAAGAGGATTATTTTATAATGATCATCACAATACTTGCGTTGCTTAAATTTACTTTTACAAAAATTTGGCAATATTAAACACATTGCAAATATTTAAAATGTGAAAAATAGGTCTTCGACATCGGATATAAAAAGTATTTATTAAAAACTTTGGAAAGTCAAAAAGCCCAGCTTCTCGAGGTCTTCTAAAAATCGTCCAATCAGGACAGTATAATGATGCGTATGATACATTTTTAGAGAATCGCTTAAAAAACTTAATTTAGGTCCAAAATCCTGGGCTCTGTATGAAAATGCTTGCAAATTGTTTGAATTCCTTCTGAATAAACCGTGGTAAATAAAAAGTGACTAATAAAAATTAAGAAATTAATTACCGGCACTGTTGTGACTTATTTGGTTGTAAATTTTTAATAAAAAAAAATAGTTTATTAGTTGTTTTTAGTCGAAAAGTCGATAAATATATTCCAAAAGTGTATTGTCATTGTCCTTAGTGCCACTACACAACCTCCTGAGGCTCACAAAGATAATTGCTTATGTAATATAACTAGAAAATTGTTGGCAAAAATCTCACTCACTTTATGCATCACGTAGAATTACTAAACTAGTTCAAAACGCTGGATCGTGGGAACCAAAACTGATGGTTCGCAAAAGTAGTCTAATCTTTTTATATCTGCAGGCCCACTGCACTCCCACCCTTCTGGACCAATTACCAATCTGAAGTCGATCTAATTGCTGATGGTTTTTAATTTCACGATTCAAAGATTTGAACTTGATCTTTTTGACCATATGGATCTTAATAATTTCAGATCGTCTATCTGATGGATGCTCTAATTGCAGATTACATGGCAAAAGCTATTGTATAACGTGCATCAGTTCGAACTGAAGGGAACCTTGTTATGTCGAAGAGCAATAAATACTTTCGGATGGTAATTGAAGTATTTGCGAAGGTATTAGTGAAGTATGCAATTTGATAGTTGGAACAATAGAAGTGAACCAACGGAATCTTTTTTCAATTGCAATTCTTCAGAATTATAGCTGGGTTCCAAATATTCTTTAACTGGCCCATTAGATGAGCTAAATGAGAAAAAATTTTGCACCCTAATAGCCACCAGCATATCATCTGTTAAATGTGCGAGATTTTTTAATGGAAAATCATCCTTTGTAGTGTTTGGTTATGCCGCTTTGTGTTGACTTGCTTTATTTATTATTATTGTTTGTCTATTATTCATTTGCTCGTCTTCTTGCGAATGGCGGTCCACAATTTGCCCATTTTTTGTGTACCAATCTTCTTTCCCAATTTTAAAGTGCAGCTTCGTTATAATGGCTTATAATTAGCCTCTTCATAACGGGTGTTAAGTCATGACATGACTTTGCCTTTCATTAGCATCTTCAATCCATCTAAACGTATCAATTAGGTTTATGGCAAGTTAAACAATTAATAGTAGGTTAATTCGTTGGAAGAATGCTCTTAGAGTTGCCTAATATGTCGGCCATCACGGTTCACTCCAAGGAGTCAACACTTTAATCCGGGGCACTAAAGTGCAATCGATGAATTTAGGTAGATATGATGAGTTCAGCAAATTGTCTTCTTCCCAAGGTTTTTCAATCAGCAACTAACAATGAAATGTTTCTTCCATTAGGTTACATTGATTCGAAAACGCAAAAACTCTTCAAACACAAGCGGAACCACCAATTAATTCTAAATACCTACACGATTCATTCATCTTCAAGTATTGTTGAGATTTTTTCCTTGGTACTACTGAATATAGTGTTAATTAAATTGTTATTCAGAGTTTTTGCGACATGGTGGCAATTTTCTTATGACGGTTTGCATGCAAAGCAGGATCGTCTTAGGGAAACCCGCCGATCAATTTTTCATCTCAAATATGAATATTTATAGTTGATGGCTATTAAAACGTGTGTCTTCATCTCTAACAACCATCAAGGAAAGCGGCAATGTTGCCTCTTACTATACAACTATTTTTTTTTTAGAAACTGCAGATCTAATGAAATGCACTGAATTCGTCACGCTAAAAGTTTCAAAAAATCAACCACTGCAGATATTTTAAGGCCATTTTCCGGATGTCTTCAAGACTTTACCTTTTTGTGAGTTTTTCTTTTGAGTTTCAAAATCGACTCAAACATGACGCTGCATGTTTCGGAGTTTTTCAAGCCGCATTTGAGCCACAGAAGTGGTTTTGACATCGTTGCATAGAGAATTGAAAATAGCAATATGAGTGGGAAAATTCGAGTACTTTTGACCCAAAAAGCTTGACTTTAACCCAGTCCTGCGCTCTGAAGTACCCACAATGTATATATATATATATATTTGCAATGGTGTTAGTTGTGTTCTGCTCTGCTCTCGTATTATACTTATCGTGCAGGAATATAAACTAATCAACAAAAAACTTTCATTAAATCAACGCGTTTGAGTTCAAAAACATTTAGGTTAAATAAAAGTAATTTGTTAAAGTACATGCCAGTTGAAATTACTATCTCTATACAAAGCTGAAGAATAAATCTAAAATGAGAAGAGTACAAAACAACATTAAGCAAAATGCCATGCTGTAGATCCTGGTATTGGTTGTTTACTATAAATCGATGCCTACTTAATATCGGCTATTATGAAAGCAATTGGCTACAATAATAAATATCTCAAAACAAGCTTTATAGCCTCTGGAGAGTCATAATTAGTTAAGAAGAAACACAATGAGGATTTTTTAATAGCGACTATTATTTAATTGATGGGATTTGACTGGTCGCAGCTTCTACACAGAATGATTTTTAGACGTCCATGAATAGAATCAGTGGAGAAGTTTTCAACCCAAAATTAATCAGTCTAAAATCGAAAAATTCTAAGAGAAAATTGTTAAGGAAATATTGAAAAGACCGTCGGACGTATGTAGAACATAAGCATTTAAAGACAAACTAGTACTTTAAAATCAGTAATTGTATTATATGTACTTAGATTGTTTAGGTTTAATCGCTAATAGAAAAATGTTTTCCACGATCACGATTTTTTAAAGTACTTTAAAAAGTAGACATTTTCGGAAAGGTCAAAATTGAAGAATTAAGAATCTTTTTCGGTTAATGCGTGTTTTTGCAATCAATTAGTGATTCAGATAAAATATCTACAGAATGGCAAATGAAACGTCGCAAAATTGGTGAAAGTTCCGCATGCTCTCGGCTTTTTTGCTTCAAAACCACATACATTATAATAAACCCCGAATATAAAAAAAAAACGTTTTTGAGTTTTTGGATGAATTCATTTATTTACAGAGTGGTTTTAGAAAAATCAACTTTTTGGTCCTCTAGTGATAATTTTGTTCTCTTGAACCGATTTGGGTTGAAGCTAAAACTTCTCAGTTGTCTTGCGAAAAAAAATTAATTATATCTGGTTGCATTAATTGGAAGAAATTCTGATTTAAGTCGTGGAACCACATATTGAATTGTTGTTCCAACTTGTGCATGCAGTTTTTGCTTCAACATGAGCTCCAGATCGCGAAAATCGGCCCGAGAGGAAAAATGTTATCGCTGCAAGAGGCAAAAGGTGAATCTTGCAACATCGAGATTGATTTTTCGTAAACAAAAAGTTGGCTGGAAATTTTAAAAGTTGTTTTGAGATGTTTGGCTTATGTTTAAACTTTTGGCGTTGAGTCCAAAAAGACTCATTTTTGCCCAATATATCAGTTTGAGATGCAATAGAAAGCAAGCAAGCAATTGAAACTACAAAATTAAACCTAAATTCCTACCTATTAATTTTCTGTTGAGAGGAAGGAATCACTAAGAAGATGAACCTGTTGACACTGTACCTGCTGACAAATTTGAAACACCGAAACCGAAGAACGTTTTCAAAAAATGCTGGAAAATCCACTAGCAAACTGCGTTTTCTCTTTAAGTCGCGGATTCGCATTTGAAATTATCGATAAGGAACTAATTAGCTGCTCAACAGTTCTATTTTCATTCCATTTGCCTGCAATTCGTCCTTCGGAAATTTTACCAAGGCGACTTTTAATGTCTAATTTTAAAAGTTAGGTGTTAAAAGTGCCAAATTTCTCATATTTGGACAATTATTTAGATCCATGTGCGGGCGAAAAAAACGCAAATTATGTAACCTGACAAACGTTTCATTAACAATCCATTCTGATCAGTTAAAAGTCACTTAAGTGAGCAAATAAGACGTAACAGACGTGCAAATATGATCAAGAATTTTTCAAATTTCTTGCTATGACCTAATAGATTTTTCATGTGGAGTATTTCACTGTTTAATCAACTATGACTGTATTCAGAAAAATTTTTTGCCAAACCAGGAGTGAAGTTCTCCAGGGTGGTTGTTAAATGTGGACAAATTTTAGTAGTAAAATGCCCAACAGATTGGGTTGGAAACAGCAAAAAGTCAGAAATTGAAGGACTAAAATCTGCGTGAAGTCCAGGGACTCGCACAGACCGACCTTTTGAAAGAAACATCCTGATTCTGGCCCTGTATTTACGCATTTAGACCTGATCTTCGACAGATTTGAAAAATACCAACTTTGAGATCATCAAACCACAAACAAAAACCCATATAGCACGGATCTTGTTCGATAAAGGTTACTGGAGAGTCACGATTTTTTTCTATCACTCAATTTTTTATGTGTCTATAGTAATTCATTAACACTTCAGGACTACGTCCAATTAGTGTCTATTTTATTCAAAAATATATATTTTTTCTTGCGTTTGAGTGGGAGAATGATTTTGGAGCTATAAATGATGGGTTTCAATGATCAGGGTTACAGTTCGCTGGTTCATTCCAACAGTAGGGTAGTTACGTCTATTTCGACTCGTTTTAAGTGAAGAATATCAGGGCGCATTGAGGATTAACAGATTAGCAATGAAACCGGTAAGTAAGGGGGAAAATCATTTTTAATTTCGAAAACTTTCGACTCATTTAAACCTCTACATCTTCCAATAATTAGTACTCACAAGAATGAAAATTCGTTCACATTATGTAAATATTCCGCTTAGATTAGAGAGGAAATCTTCAGCTAGTAGCGCGGTTAGATAATCGGGTTACATTGTCTGAACTGAACTGCAGTCCTACTTCCCATAGTGCAACTTACAAGCTGGTTTTGTATGTGAATAATTTAATTGCTGTAATTCTGCAGGTGATAGTGGTTTTGGCCATCATTGGCTGCGCCCAATGCGCTAAACTGGACCATCTGAGCTATCTTCCTCCAGACAGCAGGCCAAAGCAAGCCGAGCATTTTGATCAAGGATTATCTGCTCCCGCAGGACAAGCTGGGTCTTCAGGGGGCAGTGCTGGCAGCCAACCTTCCCAACCGGGTGGAAGATATCCTTCCCCTACACCTTCAGCTGGGCAATACGGCTCTCCAAGCCCTTCAGCACCTTCTGGAGCCTCTGGAGCAGCTTCTGGATCTCCTAGTCCGAGTAGCAGCTTCGGAAAAACTGCTTATGCAGCACAACCGGCTGGCCCAAGTGGAGGATACTCCGCCCAGAACAAATACGCCTCGGCGCCGCAAAACCAAATTCCCATTCTCAAACTGGACACCACCAACAATGGCGACGGCAACTACCATACGGAATATGAAACTGGCAACGGCATTCAAGCAGAGGAGACTGGAGAAAACCAAGGGGACACTTCAGTAGTTCAAGGTTCCTTCTCCTACACCTCCCCCGAAGGAGAGAAGATCGGAGTGAGCTACACTGCTGACGAGGACGGGTATCATCCGCAAGGCGATAACTTGCCGACGCCACCACCTATTCCGGAAGCAATTTTGAAGAGCATTGAGTACAATAACGCGCACCCTGAAGAAGGAAATGATGATGGCTCATACAAAGCAGGCGATTCAGAAGGGCCAAGCGGGCAGCAGGGAGCGACTGGCAAAAGCGAGCACTCAGGCAGCTCTAATCAATATTTAGCCCCAAGACCTTCTGGAGCCAACAGCATTGCTGCAGCAGGATCTTCCAGCTGCCAAGGCGGTTCTCAATATTGCCAATCGCCCGGAAGTCCGTCAGCTCCTACTGGGGGTAGTGGATATTCATCTGGTTTCCCCAGCTCCCAGCCTGGCCAACCTTCTGGACTTCCAGGCTCCCACAGTGGAAGTGGGTCATTCCCATCCCCCTCTGGTACTCCTCAACCTTCAGGAGGCCCATCTGGCTCCTACTCTGCAGCCCCCCAGTCTCCTGCTGCTGGATCATACGCGCCCCAAACTGGTACCGGTGGAAGGCCTGGTTACCAATCTTCTGGAATCTCCAGCCCAAGTGGACAGTACCCTTATCAATCATCCGGGGGCGGAAGCACTGGTTCCGCTGGGTTCAGTCAGTATGGAGGAGTTGCATCCGGCTCACCTCGACCCTCTGGCAGCTCGAGCTTCCCGCAAACAACCTCTCCCGGTGCGGGAAATAGTGGTTCTTCAGGATTCGGTCAATATGGACCCGCCTCAGGCTCAGCTGCATCTGCTGGCTCCCCCAGTGGTCCATCTAGCGCTGGTTCAGGATTTTCGGGAGCAGCTTCTCTGGGCCAGAATGGAGCAGGTTCCTCTGGGCCCCATCAATACGGTGCCCCTTCTGGAGCAGGTTCAGGATCCAGTGGGGGATTTGGAAGTGGCTCTTCTAGCGGGGTTCAGACCACTTCTGCTGCCGCACAACATTCGGCTCCCGGTGCCTCATCTGGCTTCAACCAATATGGACCGCCTAGTGCTGCATCCCGAGCTAGTTCAGGATATTCTGGAGCGCCTGGGGGTGCTCAAGGCGCTTCTCCCAACGCGCAATACTCATCTGGCAGCAGTGGAGTGGGAACATCTTCTGGAGCAAACCAATACGGAGCTCCAAGTGCTCCATCTGGACCAACTAGTGGCGCTCCAACCACTTCACAGTATTCGTCTCCCAGCACAGCTTCCGGATTCAACCAATATGGAGCTCCCGCTGCCCCATCTGGAACCAGTTCAGCATCTGGATTTTCTGGACCATCTAGTGGCGCCCAAACCACTTCTCCCACCTCACAATATTCGTCTCCCAGCACGTCTACTGGATTCAACCGATATGGATCTCCCAGGCCCAGCAACGGCCAGTCTCAATCATCAGGAGTTTCAAGTGGTGTTCCCTCTTCTTCTCAGCCTTCTTACAGTGGCAATGCTGGGGCTTCCAGTGGCGCTCAAGCATATTCTTCTGGGCAGAATGGAGGGTCCTCAGTCTCAGGAGCCTTTGCCCAGTCAGGTGCCACTGGGTACCAATATAAATCTCCAAGCGCTCCTTTTGGTGCTCCCCAAGGAGGTTCTCCATTTGGTCAGGCTGGATCGAGCGCAACTTCCGGAAGCCCAAGCGGATCGGGAGAATTTGGTGCAGGATTTTCTGGGCAGCATGTTAACCCATCCAGAACTCCCGGTGTTCAAGCCCAAGATGCAAATGGTGGTTATCTCTATTAAGAGCTGCTTTCGCATTGCCAGGAAGAATTCGGTAATATTCACGTGATTGCGCCTAGTGGGCATCTAGCCTTTGTTCAATAGTGCGACAAATTTACTTGCTATTTGCAAATAACGTACTGCCATATAAGCTTAATTGTAATGATATTTAATATTTCAAGTGAATGAATAAAATGATTCAACGCATTTGCTGTACTCCTTCAGCCCTGAAATGTACTAAATAGAATGTTGAATTGGCAGCATTTTTAGAATAGACGTGACGGAGCATTATGTATTTTTAATATCATCTTATAATTTGCACATATGTTATTACTTCAGCGTGAGTAATAATTAAGAGTGAGAATTTGCGTCTGTCGAAAACTATTATTATACTGTAGCTTCACGTTCACTATGCAAACAACTGTAGAAATCCATAATTCCCATAAGGAAAGGAATCTTTATTGACTTGCATATTATGTAACATCTGCAGATTTTCTGAATTGCTTTATTTAGGGGCTGCGAAGATGTTTGAGACAGTACTGCAGCTCTTGCGAGCCAACATATGTTGTCAAATAAAACAAACTAATTTTTTATGAAGTCCAAGATACGTGATGTAATGTAACTCTAATGAGCGTTGCAGGACTTAAGGATGCAATAGATCAAAAACCCGAATTATACATATCTGCAGGCTGGCCCAATTCGGTCCATTGTGAGATTTAGTCCGATTCGCCATAATAATAGGCTTAGCAATTGGTTTGCTGAAGAGGTCAGGTCATTGTTATTTAAAGAGCATGCACAGATTCGCGATATGTTGGTCAATTGCGAACATACAGTAGATAACATCGCTAAAGATTTCGTGCGATGTGTACAAGAAGGTGTCGATTAAAAAAAGTTGGTAAATCAACGACTACCGACAATAAATTATATTGTATTGATGGTATTAGAATGAGCCCGTCAATTTGCGAATAATGGTTTCAACGAATTTCCAACAAACGAAGAAAAATGAATATCAAATCGTTGAGAAAGTTCTCTCTTTTATTAAAAACAAAACACGCTTAATTCGTCTTCAAATCATGAATATTTCCCCACGTCTAAATAATTTTGTATTTTTTTAACTCAACAGTAACAGACACTGAGGTGCAAGATTATGCTAAAATTTCATGTTTTCCGACCCGTTTTTGCTCATTTCTCGGAAGCAAATTGAGCCAGAACGCTCATTTTTACACCATCTCCGAGAGAACTAAATTACTTTTTTAGAAAGTGAACCATCGATAAGGAAATGTTTGCAGTTCTCTCGAAAAAGCCCTGATTTCAAGCAGTTTTAGTTTTGGGTGTTTTTTGTTGAGTTGCAAAATCGGCTCAATCATGATGCTGCATTTTTTGCAGTTTCTCGAGAACCATTTGAGCCACAGAATTCGTTTTGGCATCGTTGGATAGAGAATTGAAAAGTCGATTCAGTCATAACAACATAAGTGAGGAAATTCGGACAGTTTTGACCCAGAAAGCGAAATTTGAATATCAGACATTTAGGTGCGAGATTATGCCATAATTTCATGTTTTCCCTCCCGTTTTCACGCATTTCTCGGAAACAAAACGTGCAAGAAAGCTAATTTTTACATCGTTCTAGAGAGAACTAAATGGCCTTTTTAGAAAGTGAACCATCGATAAGCAAATGTTGGCAGTTTTCTCGAAAAAGTCCTGATTTCAAGTAGTTTTAGATTTCGGTGTTTTCTTTTTGAGTTGCAAAATCCACTTAAACGTGACGCGCTGTTTTCGAAGTTTCTCAAGAACCATTGGAGCCACGGAAGTCGTTTTGGCATCGTTGTATAGAGAATTGAAAACTCTGTTCAGTCATAACAACATGAGTGAGGAAATTCGATTGGTTTTGACCCAGAAACCGAAATTTGAATATCAGACATTTAGGTGCAAGATTGTGCCAAAATTTCATGTTTGCCGTCCCGTCGTTGTTCATTTCTCGGAAGCAAAATGAGCAAAAACGCTCATTTTTCCATAACTCGAGAGAAAAATAAATGGAATTTTTAGAAAATAAACCATCGAGAAAGAAATGTTGGAAGTTTTTTCAAAAAAGTCTTGATTTCAAGAAGTTATAGATTTGCGTGTTTTCTTTTTGAGCTGCAAAATCGGCTCAATCATGACACTGCATTTTTCGAAGTTTCTCGAGAACCATTTGAGCCACAGAATTCGGTTTGGCATCGTTGGATAGAGAATTGAAAACTCGATTCAGTCGTAACAACATGAGTGAGGAAATTCGAATAGTTTTCACCCAGAAAACGAAATTTGAACAACAGACACTCAAGTGCAAGATTATGCTAAAATTTCATGTTTTCCGACCCGTTTTTGCTCATTTCTCGGAAGCAAAATGAGCCAGAACGCTCATTTTTACACCATCTTCGAGAGAACTAAATGACTTTTTTAGAAAGTGAACCATCGATAAGGAAGTGTTCGCAGTTTTCTCGAAAAAGTCCTGATTTCAAGCAGTTTTAGATTTGGGTGTTTTTTGTTGAGTTGAGTCCTCGAGAACCATTTGAGCCACAGAATTCGTTTTGGCATCGTTGGATAGAGAATTGAAAACTCGGTTCAGTCATAACAACATAAGTGAGGAAATTCGGACAGTTTTGACCCAGAAAGCGAAATTTGAATATCACTCGGGTGCAAAATTTCATGTTTCCGTCCCCTTTTTGCTCATTCCAGAGAGAACTAAATAACGTTTTTAGAAAGTGTAAGTAGCCATTTCTGGAACATCAATTAATTTTTTTGTTATTATATATTAACGCTGTAAAATTGATGACATTTCGGTGCATTTGTGAATATGATGAAGGGAAACAACTCGCAGGTTTGCGTACGATTTGGGCGTTAAAAGCAAATCCACCAAATTGTCTCAAACTTTCAAAATATCTACCAATTGATTTACTATTAGTAAATTAACTACTTATGAACAACCAAATGCAATTATAAACGGTATCGAAAAAAGCCTAATCTCTACACTGATATGTGAAGATTAGCAAAGAATGTGTGGTCAACGAAAATAAAAACGACTCAAAATTGAAGCTAAAAAAAATTTCGAGTGCAAATACGCAGTAACTCACGCTAATGTCCTACAAGTAGTTGTATGGAAAGTTTACTTGCCGTTATATTCTTTAAGACATGATAACGCATTTCCAAGAAATATTTAATAATTTCCTTTTTAAATAATTTTATGAAAAAATGTAGGTTTTTAAGCAGATTGCACCCAGTTTTATTGTGATACTGTTTGAAACATCGAGACATTGAAGAAGACATCAACTTATCTGGGAAGTCTCTTGGGCCACTGTCGGACCTTAATTTTTTTTCTATGGTTTTAATTAAAGAACCAAAACAGCTGACGAACATATAGGTGTTATTCAGTTCTTTTCTTTTCTCTCGTTATCTATCCTGGAACGTGTAGCGTTCTGTTTCAAACGGTTTTTGCATTTTTTGCATTTATCGGAAACTAGTCGCTGTTTTTTACCCAACTCGGTCCAATACACTTTTTTTAAAGTAACTAGTACTTATTTTCATAAACATGTTTAAGTTAGTGCGAGAAAAAATTGCACTTGTTCGAATATTCCTGCAAGTTTGTGCTGCTAATAAATATTGTAAGTAAAGTGTCGGATAGTTGAATCACCAAACCATCACTGCTTTAAATCAAACCAAAACTGAGTTCACAAGATTTTTTTAATGCGTTATAATAATAGCGTTTGGTATACAAATTAAATTTTATTTTTATATTACAATATAATACATAAATCTATCAACTTATACAAAAAGTGGATTTCTACAAATTGTTATTTTCTTAATGTTTTATATAAAAAATGGAAATTATTTTAGACGGTTCACGTGAAATATATATAACGTATCAATCTAGTACTACCAAAGCAATAAATAAATAAGTTTCCCATTCTATTTTAACTTAAGCAGTTAATAGTACCATAAAGTAGCTTAGATTAAACAAGTAATCGACATACTAGACTGATACATCAATAAATAAAAGAAAAACAATTATCAGTGCCGACAATCTAAAGAAGACACTTCTCTCTATACAAGTATAGTTGAAGCATATAAGCTGCATTTATACAATATCTACTATTTGACGAAAAAGGACAGTAACTTCTTCAAATGGTTATATCTAATTTAGTTTCAATGATTCTAACACTTTACCGAATTATAATAAAAATGTCTGTATTTAACTTCTAAGTTATTGCTATAGAGCTGCTATCAAAACGAAATGGGCAGCTACCACGCATTGTTCCTGGTTTGAAAAATAACCAGCACCCGACCTTCTAGAACAGTGTGTTGTTTTGTCTCTTAGAAATACTTTAACAAGTATTTTTAAATAAATAGGAAAATCCGTATACCATTGTCCTAAATATTGCTCACAATATTTAGGCAATTCATGACTTCATTTGTATAATTTATTCAATTTTCACCAGACAACGGCTTTACTTTTTAACCATGGAGTTGAAAAGTGAAACCGTTTAATCGGCATTTAATAGGCAATTGTTGTCGTTTTCCTATTTACTTTTGACTAGTTTGTCCACATTGACTAAACATGGTCCAGTACAAAATAGAAAACAAATCGACCATCTAAGAACTAAAACACTAAAGAACCACTACATTCTACTTAAATATATAATTTCATTATTGTAAAACATTAACATATATTTCGAGTGTTTGCTTAATCGCACTAAATGGAATTTAGTTTAGTGGGAGTGGTATTTTTGAGGCAAAACAGCACATTTGTGTTACAACCCTGAGCACGCTGCATCATTTGTTTAATGGTAGCTTTAGTATTCGCAACCGTAACTTTTTATTTAATTTTTGAATAGCCAATAAATAAACTATGAGTTATATTATTACTAAGATATTACTCTAAAAATAATTAATCACAAATTAGCACAATATCCACCATTTTGAAATTAAAGATAACCGTCCTTTTCAGATCCACGTTTCTGGAGGATTTCATCCACAGTTAACACTGGACCATCCTGATTTAATTTTCTCTCTCTCACAAACACACACACACACAGCGTGGTGCGCAAATTTGAAAATGTTTAGCGTTAGTGAATGGGTTTTGATTTGCACAAGCACTTAGAGCTTAAATGTATCTTACGTCTTAAGTTAGTTAGATGCGATCGATAAAGATGCTGCGTTAAAATTGTAGGAGAATTGCAGCCTAAAAATATAGCAATTATTGTGTCGATGCCATAAAAATAATATTCACAACGCTCCAAATTTGATTAACTGCATTCAAGAATTACTACTACTAGCAGTAGTCACATTACTATGTCTGAGATGTTTTGTTAGCTCTAGCTGTTTAACAGTACAGAACGTTTACAGCCCCTTTAACTAGCAAATACTGATTTTCAACCCTTTGCAAAGTCCACTCATTTTCAAGCTTAGGCACCATAATTCGTTCCCGGAAAATTAGGGAAAGTCTATAACCGAACCAGACAGCGTTCTTTTAGGATATCACACAGCAATGACAACCCTTCTTTTTCTTTATCGTTATGTGTTCCACTTGGACACCATCTGCTTCCGCTTTTATCGTACTTCTCTGCACATCCACTTGACCAGGAGCCACAGCTTTGTCGGTTGTTCCGTTAGTCTTCGACTGACTGGGTGGAGCGGTGGTTAGAGCTGAAGTTATCTGACAAAAAAAAAACGTATTTCAAGTTGGTTTACAAAATTTCAAATTAGATTTGTTTCTCCCAATATAGAGTTGCCACCTCTTGCAGGTTGCCCGGACTTCAGTCCTCAAGAGACTCTACGCAGTCTGGAGACGTACGGATCATTTGGCAATTATTCCAAGTAAAGCTGCTCAAACTTTATGAGATCAGAGCAAACGGATTAATGGCCTGGATATGCAATTCCTTCCGCTAAATCGGGTAAATATTTAACTTGCTTTCAATGTTATTGCAAGAACAATACCAGTTGAGTTTCGCTGCATAAGTGTTTCGCTTGCATGTGTAGTGTATCATCAAGCTTTATTTTATCAAAAAAAATATATCAAAAACTTTAAAAGTGTTCTCTTAGCAAAGCTGGACATTTCTTTGTTATGGCAGATAGCGCATTTAAACTAGTTCCAATAATTTGGACACATGGACGATAAAAGCACAATTATTAGAAGAAAATTGCAAAATACATCCCAATAATCCCAGAGTTCGAGAACAGTGTTTGGCTCTTTTGCTCTGGATAAGTACTGAATTTTCTCGATTCAAAACTACATAAAAATGTTATCGCCAAAAAGTTGATTTTTTGAGATCACCCTGTACCTAAACAAAGGATACCGGCAAAAGCTTTAAAAATATTTTCGAGATCTGAGCTCTATTTTTACAGATTTGGTGTTAAAATGCAAAAAAAACCTAGTTTTGTTCAGCTGGGGGCAAAACGTCGGAGATAGTTAATTTTTGCAAAATGACTGTTTGTTTTGTAAAAAATATCAGTTTTATACGATTATTGTAATCAATTTTATTCACTTCATCGCCCGGGAAACTGTGAATAAAAAGTGGCAACTCTATCAGGAAACCATATTTTAAAATTAATGCAACCAGCAGTTGAATCTAAAAACCCATAGTTGATTGAAACCAATCTATGCATTCTATGTATTTTATTTTCACTGACTTGTAAATGAAGGCATTTGTCTTCATCAATAACTAATTGGTGTGGTTAATGTTTCCAAAATGTGTTCCTCCAAAGCTACGAAAAACACAAAACAAATACATTTTAGTCGATTGCGTCAACGAACTCTTCCATCTTGCATTGACGCGAAATCCGGAACGGAAAAATTCGTCTTTTATAATGCATGAAGGGCAATTTGAAATTGCATTCACTGCAGTCTTCCCGGAAAAAAATTCTAACTTCTCAACTAAATCCAGTAAAAACTCAAAATCTCTAAAATCGGTAGAAAACACTTTAGGGCAAACACTCTCAAAATTGAATTAAAATCAGACCAAATCCTGATTTTTGCCAGCTTTGCGAATTTTGGTGTAAACATGGACGGTATTGCGCTACTGCAGCCGCTCATATAAAAATTCTAACTTCTTAAATAAATCCAGTAAAAACTGGAAAACTTTAAATTCGATAGAAAACACTCGAGTCTAAACACTCCGAAAATTGCATTAAAATCATACTAAATCCTGATTTTTGCTAGCTTTGTGAATTTTGATCTGAACATAGACGGTTTAATGTCGCTGCAGTCTGTCAGATAAAAAAATTCTAACTGCTTTACTAAATCCGACAAGAACTCAAAAACTCTAAATTCGATAGAAAACACTCGAGTCTAAACACTCCGAACATTGCATTAAAATCACACTAAATCCTGATTTTTGCTAGCTTTCTGAATTTTGGTCTGAGCATGGACGGTTATGCGTTACTGTAGCCTTTCAGATAAAAATGCTAACTTCTTAACTAAATCTAGTAAAAACTGGAAAACTTTAAATTCGATAGAAAACACTCGAGTTTAAACAACCCGAAAATTGCATTAAAATCACACTCAATCCTGATTTTTGGGACCTTCGCGAATTTTGATCTGAACATAGACGGTTTAATGTCGCTGCAGTCTGTCAGATAAAAAAATTCTAACTGCTTTACTAAATCGAACAAGAACTCAAAAACTTTAAATTCGATAGAAAACACTCGAGTCCAAACACTCCGAAAATTGCATTAAAATCAAACTAAATCCTGATTTTTGCTAGCTTTGTGAATTTTGGTCGGAGCATGGACGGTTATGCGCTACTGTAGCCTTTCAGATAAAAAATGCTAACTTCTTAACTAAATCTAGTAAAAACTGGAAAACTTTAAATTCGATAGAAAACACTCGAGTTTAAACACTCCGAAAATTGCATTAAAATCACACTCAATCCTGATTTTTGGGACCTTCGCGAATTTTGATCTGAACACAGACGGTTTAATGCCGCTGCAGTCTGTCAGATAAAAAAAATTCTAACTGCTTTACTAAATCTAACAAGAACTCAAAAACTTTAAATTCGATAGAAAACACTCGTGTCTAAACACTCCGAAAATTGCATTAAAATCACACTAAATCCTGATTTTTGGGACCTTTGCGAATTTTGATCTGAACATAGACAGTTTAATGTCGCTGCAGTCTGTCAGATAAAAAATTCTAACTGCTTTACTAAATCCATCAAAAACTCAAAAACTCTAAATTCGATAGAAAACACTCGAGTCTAAACACTCCGAAAATTGCATAAAAATCACACTAAATCCTGATTTTTGGGACCTTCGCGAATTTTAATCTGAGCATAGACGGTTTAATGTCGCTGCAGTCTGTCAGATAAAAAATTCTAACTGCTTTACTAAATCCAACAAGAACTCAAAAACTCTAAATTCGATAGAAAACACTCGAGTCCAAACACTCTCAAAATTGAATTAAAATCACAGTAAATCCTGATTTTTGCGTCTTTTGTAAACTTTCGTCTGAACATGGACGATTTTACGCTACTGCAGTCTTTCAGATACAAAATTCTAACTTCTTTACTAAATCCAGTAAGAACTCAAAAACTCCAAATTCGATAGAAAACACTTGAGTTTAAACACACTGAAAATTGCATTAAAATCAAACTAAATCCTGATTTTTGAGTCCTTTCTAAACTTTCGTCTGAACGTGGACGATTTAACGCTACTGCAGTCTTTCAGATAAAAAATTCTAACTTCTTTACTAAATCCAGTAAGAACTCAAAAACTCCAAATTCGATAGAAAACACTTGAGTTTAAACACACTGAAAATTAAATGAAAATCACACTAAATCCTGATTTGTAAACTGCAGCCTTTCAGATCAAAAAAATTCCAACTAGTAACAGTTAATACTACTCTTTAGCGGTAAGTGATGCGTCAATTGCGAAACATTCAAGACCCCACGAGGACTTCGAACTTTTGCAGTCCATTACGAAGCCGGAAAAACGAGTACCAAAAATTTTTTTACAGGCAAACAATGACACTGTAATAAGACCAAAATATTATACTTAAGGTTGGAGCACCATTAATTACTTCCACCGGACAATGAAAAACATATATTAATAGCACGCATCATTGTGTTCATACTGCTAAATACAAGGCTTTCTTGGTTCTGAATGGTTGAATTAGAATCATCCAGATTTTATAGCTTCACGGTAAGAAGCTATAGAATATAGCTTGTTTCATAAGCTAATATCTACCTTTTTTGGACTAACTCCATCCAAACCGTCCACAGTATGATTGAGATCCAGAGAATCGTCGCCTGATGGTAGTGGAGGCGCTTGACTGCCTGGTGTAGGAGTGATTGGCTTTCCACCTTTGATTAATTCTACTATTTGGTCGGCTTCCCTTGAAAGGTCACCACCTGGTCGGAATGGATTGTCCCAGCCACTTTCCGTACTGCAAGCAAAAACTCCAATTCAAAAAAAATCATTTTCTATTCAGCATTCTCGCTTAAAACATGAATGAGGGAAAACACTATTTATACGATATTGATTGTCTTTGTGTACCTAAGGCTAGTTATGGGCATCGAAATTCATATCAAACTTGAATGTTCGTTTTCATTAGAAGGCGAAGGCCAATTTAATGTGTGCTTCTACTTGTAATTTTCATTTGCATTTTCCAAACTTTTTCATATTGCGTCTTACAGCTTTACTGTCTTAAAGCCTCAATGGAAGCCAACATGCATTTGCTCATCTACTCAACTTTCCAAGTGGTAAATTGGAAAGTTGCCCCGGCCCGTTGGCGCAAATCACATAGACACTTAATAAAATAATATAATATAAATAAAATTGGCTGTTGCTTCACAAGCTCGAATTTCCTGTTTTGCTGCATGGAATTCGCGATGATCGAGGCATTTGATACGAGAGCAAAACCTTGCCATCTCTAGAACTGAAAATATTGGACGGCAAGTCTGAAATTAGACTTGCCGGAATAAAGACGGCATTAAAAGCATTTAAGCGTTCAGTTAACATACCATGAAACCAATACGTTGGTGTAAGAATGAGAAAAATGTTTGAGCAACCGCAGCTGGAAATAAAAGTCGAGCGAAAATAGATCCGGCTTGCAGAGTAATTTCGAATCTGGGTCAAAACTTGAGTGCCTCAAAATTGTTAATAGCAGTCAGTAGAACTCATTTTACGTACGTATATTTTAAATGTGAATTCCCATTACCTGTCGTCCTCCTTAGGCACTTTTACAACATAATACAGCACACCTCCATGCGAAGGATTATTAGCGAGTACTTCCGGAGCGGCCATCGCAATCGCAACTTCTTACACTTTTCAAAAATTCATTATAACACTAACCACAAAACAAGTTCCTTCGTTCTCATATCACAATAAACTTTCACTTCAAACCGAATTCGCCACTGCAAACCAAATCAAAATAAAACTTTCATGTAACTAATAGAAATTAGTTAATACCAAGTATAACAAGAACTCTCCTGCAAGATGTTACTGAATCCTATGGTTCAGCTAATCGCTCTAATTGCGCAATTAAAATTTTTATGAATCGTGTAATTATTCCTAGTAAGATGCTCGTTAACGATACATTTAATGACGGCAATTTGTTGTTATAGATTAATTCTTTTTAAATTAAAATTGCCCATTGTTCTAAGCAAAATAGCCGTCAATAAGTCGGGTACAGTTAAGTAAACAATGTCTCCAATGTTCAAAAGATGCCACAAAACCGTTCAGATATGCAAAGAAAAATCGTAATTAGACAACGATTTTAACAAATGTGTCTTGTATATACATATTTTATATATCTTATATTTTTAGCTCCACATTTAAATTGACTCTCTTTTTGTTTTCGCAGTTCAGTAGTTCCGCAGGATGCGCTGTTTATCGCGTTAACAATATCTTCAGCAAAAGATTCTCGGGTTCCAATTTCTTCCTGCGAAGTCTGATCTTCCGGTTGCCTGCATCTAACTTTTTCCCAAACAATCACGATCAGAGGCTATATATACTATATATAATATTGAGCCCAAAAATAAAAAGTCAGATTTCGCTGTACTTGTTATTTCATCCAAGTGAAACTTGCAGAATTTCTTCGTTCAATCTTCTTTTTACTCCTAGAAGTTTCAAGGTTTTACTCTTTAAGGCTTAGGGTTTGCAACGATTTTAAGCATGTAGAAAGTGCATTGAAGACATTTTTGCAGCTTTCGCTTCCTTTCTACACTGGAAGATGTTCAAGTCACAACAAGTCTCAAACATGTCCAAAATAAAATTGTTCTTGTTGAAAATGTGAATTATTGTAGTTATTGATGTTGAAGACTTTGCAAACAATCGGCAAATTATAAATATTATTTGCACAATTAAATCGTTATTAGCGTTAACCTGCCGGTTGATGACAGACTAAATAATTTCATGCTTGGCTTACATCTTTGTTTCCCAAGAAAAAATAAATAATTCTTTAATTGATATCGTTCCGAAGCGTTTTAAAGTTAATCCTGAAACAGAGCGTTAAAATAATCGGTTATATGAACACCTTGGTTGCCTTTTTATTTGATGATTTTGAGATTTTTATATTCTTTTTTATTTTTACAACTGTTAGGTAAGTTTTGCAACAATGCAACAACTTGCATTACCTTCACAAGTAAAAGTGACGCGCCAGACCATCAAAATCATTCAGCACATAATTTCTTCAACAATAAAAATCATGCCTCGATGGACGCAGTTTAAAATCGTAAATATATGAATCATAAACTTGCGATTACATTTCCAGCATTAACATTAAATTCTACTTAAGGTAAARTAGATTATCTGCATGTTCTCTTACAGACATAAAAGTCGGCTGGTTTTCCAAATTCCCAAATGAACACAAAGTGGATGATTTTAAATAAAAGAACAATGAAATCTAAAGCAATTTGGTTCAACATACAAGATAAAGGCGATGTTCAAATATATTYATTATGCTTAGATTGACAACATCTGCTTTGGCCTCGGCGTTGAGGGTGATTTCTGCAAATGCAGACGAAACGGATGACCAAAATGTTAATACTAGTGGGTTTTTCGTGTTTTTTAGGCCGTCGTAAAATGGAATTTCTTACTGGCGTGTTGGATGGTGGATCAGAACAGTGTAGGCGTTCAAAAAAACCATTTCTGAAGATGCAAGCCACTCGTGCTTGCGAAACGTCACGAAGAAATTCCATTTTACGACGGCCTAAAAAGCCGAAAACCCACTAGTTTATCTTTTTGGATAATATGTTAATGTTGCATTAATGAGGCAAATGTGTCAGTTTTACCTTCTTTGCTCATAATTAATTTATTTCTTTAAAATCACTTTTTAAATATATAAATGCGTCAATTATTAATATCACGTCACGTGCAATCACACGTATATAAAAAAAATGCCGAAAATAGGCTACTTTCACGTCACCTGTTAATCACATGGATAAAAACTTTCATGGCACTCGATGGCTCGATCCCAATTTAATGCATCGAGTGCCATTAAAATTATAATTCACTCCAAAACACTAATATGCAGTCTGTTTGAAAATTCTGAAGCATCATTAATTATGTAAATGAGATACTTAAACTATTTTGCTAGTTATTTTTCAGTGTTAATTAATGTTGAAGTTTTCTGGCATAAAACTGGAAGAATTGTCGAATTGGGAATCAGAATTGGTCAGTTTTACGACCTGAAAACCTAAACGTGTTGATCTGTTTGGGATGTGAAAAATCATTCGAGTTGGGGACGATTCGGATGTGAAAAGAACCATCAAACTTTACTGAAATTGTGTGCACAAAATCTGTCATCCACAAGCAATTTTGAACAAAGAAGAATAAGAATGCATTTTAGATGCTTCGAGAACATTCGAGCTGCTGAAAAAATTGACGTTGAAGCATCCAAAGTTTATTCACTGCTATTTTAAGTAAACTTTCCAGTCCATGTAAGATTGATTGTACTCAGGCCGTCACAACTTATTACTATCTAGACTTAACTGAAAAACAAACAACTGTTCCCTAATTATTTTATCGATTAGAACCACAATAAAAACACGTTGACTCGAAAAGGAAGTGATACAGAACTTCCAGTTTTATTAGAATTGTTTATGTAACTTTTGCCCGTACATCGGGGCAGCGCAAAAATCTATGTCAAATACGCAAAGGAAACTTAATCAATCAATCAATCCGAGCTTCGCAACGTGATTAGTGACCACAGTAGTGAAATAACAACTTATATAATATAAAGTCCAGTAGTAAATGCGTAAATGTCGCACTAATAAACCATATATGGTAACTTGAAAGCCAATTGAAGATGTATGTGAACCTGCTGTGATGAAACACACTTTCACTTATTCCTCCAATGTTTGAAACTATTTAGTTACTACAGAAAACAATTTTATTGACGACTAAACTTGTGCCTTCTTTGCACTAAATATTACAATCCTGTATTCTGCGCGTTTATTGCGCATTACAGTAACATTTATGTAAACAAGAATGTAAAATGATGGCATAATGGATGGACCGCGTGATTACAAAACAGTACGCATACATAAATACAAGATTCCACACAGATAATTGCCGCAAAGCTTTTATCTGGCCAAACAATAAAAAATGTAGATAAGTTCTATATTGTTGAGGCGGATTCATTTTTTACAAACTTCTTTTTGGGTATTTCGCCTCAAAAATTTTTGTCTTTAAAAAAAGACAGAATTTCCTCACGTCTTTTATTACAGATTGATAAATAGTGCTCCTATTTCGCAATAATAATAGTTCTTGATTACTTTTTGATAAATAATTCGTTCTTATTGCGAAATAGGAGCACTATTTATCAATCTGTAATAAAAGACGTGAGGAAATTCTG